AGACAGTTGTGAGACATTGGCAGTCCTTCAAGTCTGGAGGGCTGCCGGGTAGTCCTCTGTAGAGCAATTCAGGCGATCTGGGCACAGGCAGCAAACAGCAAGGCAGGTCACCAATAGTCAGCCAGATGACAGGGCTCGACAGTCCCCAGCTCAAGAGATGTAAATTCCAATTGTGTGGCGAAGCAGGTCTTGAAGGAACCTCAAATTACAGCAACACAGTCCATGGGTTAGGTGTCCCACAGGTAGTGTAGCTTGCAAATTGAGGCAAAGAACAAGCAAGGCAGCCACACACTGGTCTGATGATCAAAGAGCAAAAGATAAGAAAGGCAAGGCTCGACTCTCCGCCCTTCAGTTAATCCCACATGTGTTTATCGGCCAAGTTGGCACAATAAACTACCGCAATACCTAAAATGACATTTCTGTGTTTCTCCTTTAAGCTTTTAAGTAATTGACTTTAATTTTTTTAACTTTTTTCAAAGGAACAAGGTGTGCTGGTAGGCAGCAGTTAGAAAAACCATTTGTCTGGTTCGATCTCTTCACTAGGTGAGGCGTCAAAAATGAGAAAGCTGTGACTAGCCCCGAATGTCATAGGGCCAATAAATGGCCAGACTAGGATGAGAACCATGATCCTTTGATTTCAAGTCCAGGGTTCTTACCCAGCTGGTAGGTGTGCCATTGCTTATTTAAAACATACATCGCATGCCCCTTCTGCTAGTACCATCTCCTCAAAAAGGAGGGCTTCACGGCTGTATTTAGGACCCAGAGGATTCTTGGGTTATATCACTGGCAAAGAGTCTGTCAGAAAGAGGACTCAGAAGAGAACAGGTTGTTTACATTTGATATATGAAGGTAAGTCCACAAGGACTGCTACAAAATCATAGAAAACTTTATTTAGCACTAGTGAAGCTATTGTTTCTCAACATGTAGCATATGTACTGAAGTATAGGCTGAGTTTTTCAGCACATTTTTATGCAGCTTTTGTGGTAAAATTAGGTGCCTCGGCAGATATTCGGGTCAGCTTATACTGGAGTGTATACAGTACTGCCTCTAGGTCTAACACTTCTGAAGGTGGCATGTCCAACTCTTACTCTTTGCTGTGGTGGCACGTGTGTTACCGTGATGCGGAAAGCTATGTGAATGTCATTTTAAATACAAGCAGGGTGACCCAAAGGGAACAGATTACACCAGAGCTTCCAGACTCAGTACAGACTCAGGATAAGGAATGAGCTGTCCACTTCAGAGAGGTTAGCCTCTGAAAACCTTATGGATAACATTGAAACATTGTCAGATACTGAAGACCTCATGGATGGAAGAACATTGTCAGATACTGTGCCAGAAGATAAGCCCCCTCAGGTTGGAAGGCACTCAAAGTATGACTGAGTAAGAGCTGCCTCCTCAAAGTAGAGTTGACCCTAGTGACGTGGAGGGAGTAAAGCCTTTGAGACCTTCATTTGCTGATGGGGGCCTGATTCAAAATGAGAAGAAACAACTGTAAACATCAATTAATGACCAGAATGTGGAATGTACAAAGTATGAATCTAGGAAAATTGGAAGTTGACAAAAATGAAATAGAAAGCATAAAGAGCGATATTCCAGGCAGGGTGAGCTGACACAGACTGCGAGGGCCATGCTGAATCAGAAAATCATATGGTTTACTGTGCCGTGAATGGCACTTTAAGAGTCACGGCATTGCATTCACCATCAAAACGGACATTGCAAGATCTATCTTGATATGCAATGCTGTCTGTGTTAAATTAGAATGCCTCATACAAGTAAATCCAGTCATTACAGCTGTTTACCAAATTTGCACATCAACTACTAAAGCTAGTGATGCAGAAATTAAGAATTCTACCAATGTCTTCAGTCTGAAATTGATCACATGCAATTGAGATGTATGGAAAATTATTGGTGATTGGAATGCAAAATCTTGAACCCGAGGAAGGAATAATAGCGAGTAAATATGGTCTTGGTGATAGAAATGAAGCTGGATATTGCATGATAGAATTTTACAAGGACAATGACTTCTTCATCACAAATGCTATTTTTCGACAGCACCAACAGCAACCACACACTTGGACTTCTCCTAATGGAATGCACAGAAATAAAATTGACCTCATCTGTGGGAAGAGAAGATGGAGAAGCTCAATATCAGCAGCCAAAAGCAGCCCAGAGGCTGACTGTGGAGCAGACCATCAATTGCACCTATGTAAGTTGAAGTTGAAGCTGAAGAAAATTGAAACAAGACCACAAGAGCCAAAATACAACCTTGAGTCTATCCCACCTGGATTTCAATAACGTCTCAAGAAAAGGTGTGACACGCTGAAATCCAATGAAAGAAGACTGGATGAGCTGTGGGGTGGCATAAAAGACATCATACATGAAGGAAGCAAAAAGCCATTTAAAAGCCAGGAAAGAAGAAAAGATCAAAGTGGATGTCAGAAGATACTCTGAAAGTTGTTCTTAATCATAAAGCAGCTAAGGCTGATAGAAGAAATAATAAAGTCAAAAAAAGTAAAATTTCGAAGGGCAACATGATAAGACAAAGTAAAATATTATAATGAAATCTGTAAAGAGCTGGAAGTATAAAACCAAAAAGAAGCATGCTCAGCTTGTCTAAAACTGAAAGAGTTCAAGAAAAAAATTCAAGCCTCAAATTGCAATATTGACAGATTTTATAGAGCAAATATTAAATGATGCAGGAAGAATATGGAAGGAATACAGAATCACTGTACCAGAAAGAATCCATCGGCATTCAACAATGTCAAGAGGTAGCATATTAGCAAGAACCAGTGGTACTGAAGGAAGAAGTTCAAGCTGCACTAAAAGCATTAGTTAAAAACAAGGCTCCATAAATTGATGGAATAGTAATTGAACTGTTTCAACAAGCTGAAGCACTTATTCTGCCAGGAAATGTAGAAGACAGTTACTTGGCCAAATGACTAAAATACATCCATATTTGTACCAATTCCAAAGAAGGTGATTCAACAGAATGCTTAAATCATAGAACGATATCATTAATATCACATGCAAGTAAAATTTTGCTGAAGATAATTCAACAATAGTGACAGTAGTACATTGACAAGGAACTTTCAGAGGTTCAGACTGGATTCAGAAGCGCACATGAAACAAGAGATAGGATTACTGATGTCAGCTGGATCTTGGCTGCAAGCAGAGAATACCAGAAAGATATTTACTTGTGTTTTATTGACTGAAAAGGCATTTGACTGTGTGGATCATAGCATCCTCTGGGAAGCCTTGAGAAGAATTGGAAATCCAGAACCCTTCATTGTTCTTCTGTGGAAACCGCACTGGGATCCTGAGGCAGTTGTGCAAACAGAACAAGGGAATACTACTTGGTTTAAAATCAGAAACGTGTGTATCAGGGTTGTATCCTGTCACCATACTTAATCAGTCTGTATGCTGAGCATATTATCAGAGAAGCTGAATTCTATGAGGGAGAATTGGGCATCAGTATTGGAGGAAGGCTTCATAGCTTTCCTATGCAGACGGACACCAACTAGCTTGCTGACAGTGGGAACGTGAAGCACTTGCTGATGCAAGGACTGCAGTCTTCAGTGTGGATTACAACTCAATGTAAAGAAAACCAAAGTCCTCACACTGGAGCAATTGGTAACATCATGATACATGCAGAACAGGTTGAAAGTGCCAAGGATTTTGTCTCACTTGGGTCCACAATCAGTGCTCATGGAAGCAGCAGTCAAGCGATCAAACAAAGCATCACACTGGGTAAATTTGCTGTACAAGATCTCTTTAAAGTGCTGTAGAGCAAGGATATCACTTTGAGGATAGACCAAGGTGTGCCTGACCCAAGTTCTGGTATTTTCAGTGGCCTCTGATGCATGTGAAACTTGGACATTGTGTACGGAAGGCCAAAGAGGAATAGAAGCATTTGAATTATGGTGCCGGTGAAAATTGAAAGTACCATGGACTGCCAAAAGAACAAACAGCAAGCCTTCTCTGAGGAATTCTGTGCTGTAATGTGTACACCACTTCAAACTGCTAGTTGGACGTAGTTGAGAACTCCAATGCTTGGGTTGTTTGGTTTTTTTTAATGCTTTTTTCATGTGGAGAACAAAACGAAGTCTGAACAGGCAGGCTCAGGGTTGTAGGGTGGATGAGGTAAGCTTTTCTGATGAAGTTCCCACAGGAAAGGCTTTGCTACCCTTGAAGAGGGTATTGTGTATTGTCATGATGGGGGAAAAAAATTCCTTATCCAACTTTCCTGATTTGTTTTCCTCACCAAAGCATTTTTCCCTTTTCTTCAAGCTTCTCCCTAATAACCCCCACCCATGTGTCTAAGAAAATGCATCAATATGGCCCCTTTGGAAATGCACACTACAATCTCCATAAACTTCCAAGTGGACCTCTGCCTTGACTTTGACCAGCCAGCATACCCCCTCAAAGCCCTTCTTGGAATGGATCTTGTTTTGTAGGTATCCTATGGAGACAAATCTAAAAAGAAAACTATTTGCTAGCCAGGTTTAGTTGGGAATAAACGTACATTTATGGACTAGAGGCCTAATAGGAATACTTTTTGACTCACCCTCATGTATAATTTCTGGTAGAATCTTGCAAGTTTACCGACTCAGAAAAGGGTTTTTCTAGCCTTTCTTTGCTGCCTGCCTCTCAGAGCACCTGGTGGTGTGCCAGGAGAAGGCAGAGTTCCTTTGGCTCGCAATCCCAGGGAGCGTCGAAACACCTGGGGACAGGTTTCTTTATGTTCAGTGGCTCATGTGGGCCCAAGTGTGATCAGTTGTCTCTTGTAGGCCACAAGTCTGACACCCACCGCTCAGGAGGCAGAGAGCGGGGACGCTCGAAGGAACGAAAGCACCTTCTCTCTCCTGATGTCTCCCGCTGCAACTCAGAGGAGCGAGGGACCCAGGCCGAGTGGGAGTCACCTGAGCGTAGAGAGTCCAGGTCACCCAGTGAGGGCAGGTCACCGACCCCCAACAGACAGGTGAGCCTGGAGAGCAAGCTGAGCCTTTGGCGAGAGAGAAGGGTGGTCGCTGACTGTAGGTGCACGGTGTGTGTGGGCATTCAGCAGCCGCATGGAAGGACCAGGGAGACTGTTTCATAGGAACCTACAGGCACTATGCCTGGAGATTCACCGCACGATGCATGTGCGCTCAGAAATTAAAGAATTCGTAGAAACCCGGCTCCACTCACCCAAAGACAGGCCTTGGTGTTTCTAGGACATCTCATCCTAGTCACCCTAAATCCAATTGTACAACACAGAGGTTCAGGGCATCTCATTTGGAGATAGGCTTGTCCTTGAGCCAGAAGAATTTCTTTGATTGTTCATTTTATCCATGGTATTTGGAGGGGGGTGGGGGTGATGATTCATTAGAACAGTCAACCACCATCGCCTAGCTTCTCACTATCTCAAGAGGAAACCCTGCCTCTCCTGGCCTTTTGCTTAGCTGTTGCCTAAGTAAAACTTTCCAGAGTTGAGGGGGATGGATACTTTCCTCCTAGCTCCCCACTTTTGTCTATCCGAGGGGCCTATGCACAGGTGGGAGACTCCCTCAAGGAAAGTGCTCCGTTGAGCAGAAGGCTGAGACAGGCAGCTGAAACATCTACTACAGGAGTGCCCAGGATATAACTGCACATTCCTGGGACCTCGAGGATTCTAGTTTCATAACTTGCATGTGAAACTCAGAAATCTGCATTTCCCCAGGAGATTGGGAAACCTGTTTGTAGGCCACACACACCTTAAGAACTCCATCCTAGAGGTCCATTTGCCAACACCTGGACTCAGATTCCTCTGGGGATATGGGGGAAGGTCACCTGATGGCTGAGCCAACAGGTGCATGTGTGGACTGCAGAGCTGTTCACTCCAGGAGCTGGCTTTCCTCAAGCCAGGGCAGCAGGAAGTGAAGGTAAGAGAAAGGATTTATGATTCTTTTAGACCCATTTCTAAAGAGGGTTTCCCATGCAGAACAATCCCCAGAGCACACGTTCACATCTTTTAAGGTGGTCTCTAAAACACTTAAAAGACAGATGTGCTTGTTGAGAATACATATGCCCAGCAAAGCAAGCATACACCCGTTGCCTGGTTTCTCCGCGTACAGTTTACTGTCATTGATTCCCCTCTGACTGTGCAATCCTTCTCACCCGCCTTTCCGATCCTTCCGCCTCGCGCACAGAACCTCACTGCCCACTAAGGTGCCTGGCTGATCGTTCCAGCTACTGCTACTGTCAGGTTTATCTCATCTAGGTCTCAAAAAATCAGAATGCTCATGTTTGCTATTTTTCACTAGTTAAGCTAAACAGTTGCTCCATTTTAAGATGCGTGTAGAGGGTATTTCTGGCTTAAAGTTGAAAGAATAGCTCAGGCCCCTATTTCAGTGGTGCATTCATCTTCCACGTGTCCGGTGAGTCTGAAGGTCGTGAGTATTTGGAATGGTCTGCATTTCCATTTCAGGCATTGGCTGGAGGTGGTGTTGGGCTTGCACTAAGATTACCCAACAGCAGAGGATGGCTCTTGCTCAGTTTTAGGGGCCAGCCTAAGGGAGGGTGGACTTTGCTCCCCACCCCCACCCCCCCAAATCAGTAGAAGCAGTTCTCTGCTCAATCTCTAGACTCCAGAGGGGAAGCGATCCTCGCTGATGGGCTCAGCTTACTGCTCGGAGAAGGATCTCTAAGGAATAGCCCCAGGGCACCATCCCTCGCTGTGGGGCAAATGGAATGATCTGGGATGTGGGTTGGGCAGGACAGAGGGACTGAGGTCAGGCATAGTACGCCCAGGCCTCACTCGAGGTTGGGCATGGACACTGGATTCGGAGTTTGGGGATCTTTGTTCCGTATACAAATGTACAGTCTGTAAGCAGTAACTCCTGGGAAGGCGGATGAGAAGCCGACAGAAGCTGTGGAAACAGGAAACACCGGGGGCCATGGAAAGGCCCTACTAAAGCTGCGTGGGTTGTGTCAGTGTGTCTTGCTCACATTTTCAAAGTCTTGCAAAGTGTCACAGAACTTCCAGACCCTTGCTGCTCAAAATGTTTGCTCCAGGTATGAACACTCATGCTACCCTTCTCCTCTGGGAGCTTTGTTGGAAAGGCAGCCTCTCAGACCTCAACCTAGATCTGCATTAACCCTTAGGTGCTGATCATGGGGGGACCCTTCGATGTGGATAGGGTGGCAGGGGACAGGGGGTGTTTTCCAAGATGCTCTGCATTTTAACAAGAACCCCAGGTTGCTTCCTGAGCACACAGTAAAGGTGGAGACATCCTGCTCTATGTAGATCCCTGCTGTGCCACCCTGCATCCTTTACTGAGGTGGAATTACAGGAGGGGCTCCAGCTCAGCTCTCCAACCCCCAGAATTCCGAGTCCCTGGGCTCTAGGTAGGAGGGTTTAGGGATCTATGCAGGGTCTTGTATGAGAATCCTGCTAAGTCCAGACTAACACCCTATGTCTCCCCTGCTTCCAGGGCACCGGGTCCCTGAGCGAAAGCTCCATCCCCTCCATCTCTGACACCAGCACCCCAAGACGAAGTCGGCGGCAGCTCCCGCCAGTGCCTCCCAAGCCTCGGCCCCTCCTGTCCTACAGCTCCCTGATGCGGCATGCTGCCAGCAGCCTATCTCCCTCCGCAGACGGCAGCGAGGGTGGCTCCCTGCTCTCGTCCAAAGCGCTGGGGGGCAACAACAACGCTTGCCTGACCGAGCCGCTGCCCGACTCCCCGCACGTCAAGCAGAGCCAGCAGTCCTCCCCGCAGCGCTACATCTCCGAGCCCTACCTGGCCCTGCACGAAGACTCGCACGCCTCGGACTGCGGCGAGGAGGAGACCCTCACCTTCGAAGCCGCCGTGGCCACGAGCCTGGGCCGGTCCAACACCATCGGCTCCGCCCCACCCCTGCGGCACAGCTGGCAGATGCCCAATGGGCACTACCGGAGGCGAAGGCGTGGGGGGCCCGGGCCTGGCATGATGTGTGGGGCTGTCAGTGACCTCCTGAGTGACACGGAAGAAGACGACAAATGCTAGAGCTGCTCCCCCCTCCGATGCATGCTCTTCTCTCACGTGGAGAAAATCAAGACCGAATTGGGAAGCCTGTGCGGCCCGGGGGGGAGGAAGAGGGAGGAGGAAGGCGGAAGGACACCGTGCTTTGTCAGAGGAGAGGACGCGAAGGACAAAAGGACAACCAGTCGAACCCACCAAATTGCTTTTATTTCCCACTGCAAGATGGGCACTGCCATAGTTCTGCCTTTTTGCTGGGGAAAGAAAACGCGGGGGACCCCGAGGGCCCTTCCCAAGGAGGAGGGACAGACAGGAGGACGGCTTTGCTTCCCTTTGCCCCTTCCCACTTTCCTCGAAACTGGAGGGATCCAGCTGGCCTGTGGCCAGTCACGTGGCCGCGAGAACCCTGGATGACATCACCCACCGGGGGAGTTGTGGAGACCAGAGGGGCGCCATCCCGCTCTCATCACACACTTGCTCCTCAGCCAGCACCACTGGCACCAGGGCGAGGGACGGCGGCAGCAGCTCAGGCCTCTTCCTGTGGCTGGCTTCCCCGGAGACGCACGGGCAAAGTGCGGGAACCTTGGGTGGGTGGCAGGGGGAGGAGGCAGAGGGAGGAAACACCCCAAGTGGAAGGAGCCAGGGTGCTGTGAAGACAGCAGCAAGGGCTGGTCTGGGTAAACAAAGCCATAGCCCAGAGAGCCTCCCACAGAGGGCAAGGCGGGTTCAAGAAGTGGGGCGTCGGTGGTGCTGTTGGGGGTAGCTCTCCAGCCCTGAGACCTCTCCCCCGCACAGTAGGTGCTGTGAGTGTCAGCTAGGCTAGGACAGGCTAAGGACGCCCCTTAGGGCCCACGAGGTGCCTGGAGCTTTGGCAAGGATGATAGTGAATGCATTTCAGAGCCCGCCAGGCAGGGGTGGATTGGGGCACCAGCGCTGGGCCCTGTGTATGCCAGGCATTAACCCTTTTGATGCTGGCCATGGGAGAACCCTATGCCGATAGGGTGGCAGAAGGCACGGGGCTCAAGTAGGAGTCTGTCAGCTGCAATCGAAGTCAGTCAGTAGGCGTGACCGGGCTAAGCCACAAGGGTGCAGGCAGGCTGAATGACTGCCTTAGACTCAGGTCCAGAAAGCCAAGCCGAGGGCCTCTCTACAAAGTGGCACGGTTAATTTTTGGGTCAAGGCAAGCGATGCCAAGTGCCTGAGGCCCAGCTTCCTGGCCACTGCCCAGAGAGGGCAGAGCATACGTGTCCAGGGCGGGCCACACACCAGCTGCTGGGACTTTCGTACAGAAGGGCAAGGCAGGCTGTGGGAACAGTCTGAGATGAGTCTGAGATGGCGGAGGGCCTCCGGTGAGCGGGGACCTTGATGCTGGCAGCTTCTGCATCTTGCCTGCTGTCCCCGTGCTCCGATGTCTTTAGGGTGACTAGTTAATATACCTCAGCTTAGTCCTGGGCTCTGTGTGCAAGCCAACAGGCCATGGTGCGGCCACGTCACACAATATGTGACCCAGATAGTTTCCTGGGCCAGGATGGGGTTCATATCTACCCAAAGTCAGAGGTGGGCAAAAGACAGCCTCAGGCCAATTATGTCATTCCTAACCCCCCGACCCCCCCACATTGAGGGGCAAAGTCCCTTTCCAGGCTGAGCAATGCTCCTTTAGGCTATTTTGTTAGACAAATCTCTGCATTGATTTGGGGCAATCCTTGGAAATACACATTTCCTTAAGTACTTGCCCTGCCCCCAAGACCATCACATTAGAGGAGGATCCCGATGGAAGGCCTAGCCCTAGAGCCCCCTCCCAGGCTCTTCTGCGGAGACGGAGAACCACACCTCCTGGAGGTGTCAGTGAATACAGCCCAAGCCCCTCCCCCAGCTCAGCTAGACTGCCTCGTGAGCCCCTGTGCGATTTCCTTAAAAGAAGCCTCTTTTTTCTTAGGAAGCTGTTTCTTTTTTGTTGTCATCATCTTGGCTGAAATAGATGTAAGGTGTCATTACCCCTGACAGCCAAATTCAACCTCTTGGCGGCTGAACCACTTGTTGTGGACCCTCCTTCCCTCCTAGGTATTCCGGAGCTCCGTGGCCCAAGGTCGGTAGACCCCACACCAAAGTCGTCCCAGGGCAGAGCTGCAGAGACCGCAGCCTCCCATTCTCAGCCCCGCTTCCCCGTCCATCTCCTTCTATTCAACCTGAGTGTGCTCGGGCTGGCTAGACTCTGAGTACGAAAGCGGGTTACATAAGACTAGCGAGGACACTGGCCCTTGAATTGTCTCTGAGCTTCCTTGTGCTCAGCGTCATTTCATGCCCAAGTGCTGCTCTGGGCTGCTTTTCTTAGGAAACTGCTTTCTTCCACTCTGGAAATGCAGCCTTCCCTGGGGACAGGCCTGCCGCAGGCCAGCCATTCCAAGCGTGAGAGTCTATTGCGTGGTGTTCTGGGTGAATTGAAGTGATGCCTTGTGCCATCCCAACAGTAGGCGACATCTAAGCTAGCAGAGCAATGAACAGAAATGGGATTTGCCTGCAAACAACATTATAAACACGGACTCGACTGTGCTAGGAGTGCTTCCTGCGTACCTGACCACCTGGAACAGAGAGAGAGAGAGAGAGAGGCATTTGCGTTCTAGGTGAAGTGTCATGCACAGCAGAATGTCCTTGGCCTATAAACATATTCACTGCCCTCAGTCAGTAACCCTATGGACCAGCAGAGAACCGCCCCTGTGGGTTTCTGAGACTGTAACTCTACAGGAGTGGACAGTCTCGTCTTTCTCCCACGGAGTAGACCCAGGAACTTATGAACCCTTTACTTATTTACTTTTATTCCAATTTCTCCTACTCACTAAGTCTGGTTTATTCTCCGCTAGCCTGAACTTAACCTTCTCTTAAGAGCAGGAAATAAAAGAGAATCTGAAGAGAAGGATAAGTCGTGGAACTCCTCCTTATCATCCTCTTGAGATCATTATTGCTGCTGAAGAAACATTTGCTCCCACTTCCCACTCAGCTGATTAGGACCTTCCTTCCTGGGTATCAAATTCTGCCACGTCTTTCCTTTTGAGTATCAAAACCCAGACTGCTCTTTGACATTGAAATGACGTCAGCATCTTGGGAAATCCCAGGTGGAAGAGGACTGCTTCTAGTGTTTGAGCTACCCACTGCCATTGAGCTGATTCTGATGTATAGCAGCTCTCTGGGGCAGAGTAGTAAAATTGCCCCCCTCTGGGCTTCTGAGATGATCGGGGAGCACGCTGCTTCATCATTCTCCCAGGGGCAGCTGGTGAGGCCAACCACCAGCCTTGAGATTAGTAGTGCAGTGTATCCCCCATGACACCACCAGGGCTCCTTTTGAGATCCATACCATGATCAAATTCGGTACCTGGAAGTTCCATTAAAAATGTTTTAGCCACATCTTTGAATTCCCTTGCTATTGCTCATCTTCATTATTTCCTGGAAATAAAGAGAGGAGGAAGGAGAAAAGGAGGGAAAGTATATATCAAGGCATGGAGATACTTGTTCTAATTAGTTTTTTGTTTAGATGATGTTACTTAAGGCTCCAGATAGCGTTCTAGTGGGGAATATCTCTCTCTCTCTCTCTCTCTCTCTCTCTCTCTCTCTCTCTCTCCTAGAAGGCAGAGTACCACCAGACATTCAGACATGGAGGTAGAGCTACAGTCAGTCTAGAATTACCTGCACCATGAAAAGACAGTGTGCTCTTGAGCCACTCAAACTCCAAACTTAACTGTCATTGAGTCAATAATGACCCATAGTAACCCTATAGGACAGGGTAGAACTGTCCCGTGAGTTTCTGATACTATTACTATTTACAGGAGTAGAAAGCCCCATCTTTCTCCTGAGGAGTGGCTGGTGGTTGTGAACTGCCAACCGTGTGGATTGCAGCCCAACACATAACCACTACCCACCAGGGCTCCCTGAGTCTCTAGACTCAACATAATTCATGAACATCATTCTGCAACTTGGGGCTGTGCCACTTTTCTGGCCATTACCACCTTGGACGTCTCTTTCTACTCCCTACTCGATGCCCCATAGGGACTGAGATCACTGAGAACAGTTCCCTGGAGCCAAACTCTAAAAGTTCTGGATTGTGCCCTCTCTTGGCTCTGGGGCCACAAAGAGAAACCTCCACACTGTACTGTTCAGTTAGCATCTCCCTTCCCTACACATCTTCACCCCGAGGTGAGCAGACTGCGTCTCTGTCAGCCCCAGCCCTTGTTTTTCTGCTTGTTAGCATTAACCCTTCTCCTGGGATGGCTAAATCCACCAGGTGTTTGCATACCTGACTGCCTCTGCAATGCTGTCTAATATTGGCCCGTGTTCTCATTCTGATGAGAACCCTTTGGCACTCACCAGGTAAGAGTCATGAGATTAAATATAAAAGGATAGAAGGTACAGTAGTGTGTGTGTGACAGAAAAAGAGAGAGAGAGGTCTGCATACTAGATGAAAGCTCAGGACATGGAAATTAACTTTCCACTGGTATAATTGGACCCCCCAAAAGGGCCCCATTTTGATTTTTAAGAATTTTGATTTTTTTGTTTTTAAAGAAATCTCGATTTTTCGTTGTCCATTATTTCTAAGGCTTTCTGCTCCCATAAAGCGTTTCAGCCTCGGGAACTCACAGGGCAGTGCCCTAGGGCCACTATGAGCTGGCCTCACTGAGACGGCAGTGAGTTCGTGTATTTGCGCTATTTCTGAAACCTGCTGCTTTGGATGTCTCCGTCTTGAAGAGAGCATTCTCGTAGTGGCTGAAGCCTAGGACAGGTTGGGGGATTCTGGAGTCCATGACTCAGTTGAGTTTATAGGATATAAATGCGAAGAGTTTGTGTGAAAGAAGAAATGTATATGTATAGCAGAAGGGGAACAGATAGATGTCTACCTTGGAGGGGTGTTGTGAGACTTAAACTTGAGAAATCTTGCCCTCCTATTTTTACTTACTCTGTGTCATTATGTTCTGCTTTGAGAACCATCTAGAACTTGGAGCAGTGGGTACAGAGAATCAGTGGACGCTAAGGAAATGAGAATGGGCACTGAGATGTTTCCAGGCAGCTCCATGCCTTGGGGAAGTTGTCCTCATTTACTCTGTCCTGATTCACACACCATATTGGTCCTTCCCTGGCATTAAGCACTGTTCGGGAGGCACTAGGTCCCCATTGGGACCAGATCTGAGAGCCTATCTCTCAAATATCTCCATACGGAGGCTCTTCTTTGATGAAGAGCCAAGCAAAATGAACTCATTGGTTGGAATCTAGCCTTTTCATGAAATCATCAGAGGAGATCCCGGATTCAGGAAGCGCTGCCTGTCTAGGCAGCTTTGCTTTGGTTGGGTCTTCCTCCTCTCCGGACCACCCAAGGCCTCATAGCCGGGTCTGCCTCTGGGGGAGCAGTAGCAGGTGTCTTCAGGGAGGGCTCAGGTACAGACCTCGAGGGGTTATGTCAGCTGTCACCTGATGCAAAAACTAATCCACTGACAGCACACAAATGTAGTGCGCGTGGGGACAGTGGACTAAAAATGAGGACAAAGAGGCCAAACCACGATCTTTGGTTTCTGATGCCACCCTGGCCTTCCCTTGCATCCTTTCTGCATTGACCTTCTGAGGCTTATGCATCACACAGAGGTCACAGGCAGCCAGAGAAGAGCTTCGTAGACTGCCCCAGACTGCCCAGCAGACAGAGCTTTGCCCTCTTCATAAATACGTTTTGGCAAATATTATTTCCAGTATGAAAGGTCAATTACTACAGAGAGCTGGAAAGCTTCTCTTAATGAAACTAATGAAGGATGACTGGGCCTCACAGCTGTCTCATTTGATGGTCTACTGAGAATGGGGGGTCCTGAAGCAGCCCTCCTGTTTTTGATTTCTTGTTCCCATCTATGCCCCAACCCTGCCCCATGTTGTAAACAAGGGGCTTAATATTTGATCTCCTGCAAAAAAATATATAATAAGCCACCTGTTAGAGGGATACATTATTTATTAAAATGTGAATTTTTATTTTTGGGGGTATGGAAGGATTAAGTAGATCAGGTAAAAAGAGATGTGGGGATTTATGTTTTATTTTCTGGGGCCTACTCGGTTGATTTATTTGTTGGATTGCTTCAGTGTCAGACTTGTTCTGTGACAGCAGAGATACAGTTGTGTTCTGCAATGAGTCTGAACCAGCTTCTCTCTGGGATTTAATTTAAGTCAAATTTAATGATATAATATTTGAGGCCATTTTTGTCTCCTTCTGTCTCCCTCAGTCTGTCTCATGTCTCCCTCTCTCCTCTTTGTACAAATTTAACCTAGAATAATAAAATGATGTTTGAAATCTTCAGCTTAAGCTAAAGAAATAATAGAATGGGTATAGAAAATTTTCAGGACATCTTAAACCAACAAAATACAAAATTGATAAATATTGATGAAAAGTGTTTTCAAAATATACTGTAACTGTGTGATAAAAGAGAAATATTGGGAGTCAAAGTTAGTAAATTCTAGGGTTCTGTCCCAACTCTGCCTTCAGCAAGGGTATTCACATTTACTTCTTTTCCCTTGCTAAGAAAACTAAAATGCTCGAGTAGTTCTTGGGTGTGTCAAATGATCATAAAATGAATATATAATGTAAATGCTTAGTCTATACAAACCAATACCTATGAAATTCATGGCATTGCTGTAAGCATTTACTTTTTGAAAAAGAAATTCAACGTTGAATGGAACGTCAGTCAAGGATCAACTTAAATTCAGACTCCAGTCTTCCCATTTCTGGTTTGTTTTCTTTTTTATGGGGTGCTAGGGAACGATCCAACAGGAAGCTGGGTTCATGCTCAGAGGTTCCCAGTATCTACTTTCCTTTGTGTCCACTCGTCATCGATCAAACTCCTGCAGTCAAGCTTTGGGGGGGATCTTCGCCCTGGAGATGCCCTCTCTCACCCAGCACTGACAATCAGCGTTCTCTCGCTCTCGCTCGCTCTCTCTTTGTATGACAATGAGTCTGTCTGAGATACGAATGGATTGCGCTCTATATTGGGGGGCCGATCCTAGAATTTGCCCAGGTAATGTGACATGCTTCTCCCTTCCCTCAGAGGGTGTCCCTGAAACTGAAAGCAAAACAACTGACACTGAATTTGACTTTGTTTGGTGACTCAGTTGGTTTCTTTCAAATTTTCTAATTTCTTAAAAGAACAGCCTGCACTCCCTCAAGCTCCACCACTCAAAGCAAGTTTCCTTCTGGTTCCAAATCTTTAGAGTCCTTTTGGGTTCAACTGATTGGATTTGAAACAAGGATGAACAGGAAAAGAAAAAAACGCAATCCTGGATTTCAAAGTGCCATTAACTTTCTTTTTTAGATAAAGGTAATATGAAATGAGGGCTAACCACTGTAACCTAACTGCCAATTGAAGTAGAGAGCAGCTCTGGTCTTAGTTACATTTGATAGGAATTGTATTCCGTCAAGCAGATCCCAGCAGATTTAGTAAAAATATAGGTATTGACTTTTAATGGCTACCAATGGGGATATACACTTAGCCTGCAGGCTGAACTCCAGTCAACCTTTTTATATCCTAGTGTTTGGGGAACAAGCCAAAGCCAACCCTTAGCACTGCCACTGCACAGGAACCTCCTTCCTGGTGACATCAGCGAGCAGTCCAACCCCATTCGACTCCAACTGAGTCCAAGATTTGGAATTCTCCCACAAAAACAAATGGAGGTGAAAAATCCAATGCACCAAGTGTGCTTGGCACTTTGCAGCAGGGGCAACCTGGGTACAAGGTAGGGAAATAAGCTATCTTATAGGATAAAGACAAGGTTGAGGGGAGAATAGCAATTAGTCCCAAGAAGATGTGTGATGTCGGATCCTCTTTTTCACTTAGATCTCAGATTGAAGTCATTAGCATGGTACTGGATTCAGAAAGGCTCTTTCTATTATACTCCAAGAAGGATTTGAAGGTTTTAGAGAACTAAAAGACCCTTGAACAATTTGCCAGACTTGGGGGGATGGAGAAAAAGGAAGTTCTTGGCTTTCTAGTAGCCCAAAGACAACTCTTTCTGACTTCAGCAACCCTTCAACACAAAGTGGCAATAGTGGAGAGATTTCACTGACCTGCCAAGAGGTGGAAGCAGTATGGGAAGGGAGTGGGGGGATTTCAAACTTTGCAGGCTGCGCTGGCACTAACCTCAAAGGCTAGCATTGCAAGGAGGTGGGCTACACGGTGCCCAGTTCGTGCCCTCTGCCCCTTAGGACGAAAGTCAGGCCTTTCCCTCTTTGATTTACTCTTACAGGGATCACAGGAAAATTGGATGCTCTGCCTCTGGCTGTTCTAATGCTGCCACCTGCATTACACATGTGAGGCAAAGCCACTACCTTGCTGGCAGAGGGCTGCTTAGTAACAATGTTTGACTGGCAGCCCAGACTGGCTCCCCCAGCATATCGGTGCATCTCTCCTAAGGCCAGAGCTCAGCACTGCATGTTGACCAGGTGGATATCCTGTAAAATAGATGCTCGTCCGGATCCACAAGGAAAACCATTGCAAATAAAAGAAAGATGAACAACTTTAATGTTTTTTTTTGGGGGGGGGGGTCAAAGAAAAGAATAAATAAATAGAACCTTGTTGTAAAGAACCAATGGGTCTGATTCCTCTCATTTGATTTATTTCTTTGCCTGATTGCCTCTTGCTTGAGTTGTATATTTCATTCTTCTAAAAAGAATGGCCCCAGGAGTGGATCCTCGCCAGGGTCCTGGGCTGAGTGGGCCTTCGGTGTAGTTGAGCCAGCCCCGCAAACTCTGAAGATTTTCTGGAGTTTCTCAGCATTCCAAGG